TGCCATGTTTGGCTCTGGTGATGGCTTCAGCCCTTTCACTATTGAGTTCAGACTCCCTGAGATGTCTATTTAAAGAACCAGAAAAAAAAACTGTCTGTGAAGATAATTCACAGAGATATCATGTATCTCGCGAGTTGAGCAAGGCAACCTGTGGCATTTCCTTCTTGTCTTTTCACGCCTCTACAGTGCTTAAAGCAACCGAACGCACAGCTTCTAAACAGGTTTTTTATAAACAAAACAAACAAAGATTTTGTTTTATGAAAAGGACGAATGTCTGGCAGGCATTTGAAGGCGGCAATTCGCCCTCAGGATTCTGGCAGGGTTCGTGAACAACTAGTGCTTTACACTTGTCGTTGCTGATGTTATCAGAACTGCTTGATTTAATTAATTAAAGTGCTTTTGTTGAAATTCGCTGTCAGCCTGCTCACTGACTTGCACTGAGGGTGTTTTTGATCTCAGAGTCTGATAGAAAGGCCATGTATAACCCAGATCGTTGAACTGTTAAGTCATGCGCATGAAGAATTCAGGAACCCAAAGGCAAATGTCAAGGACCTATTAGTCGTAATACCAAAACAGAAAAAAACAGAGACAAGGGGTTTAGCCTCTTTATGCCCGTGTCTCACAAACAGCTCATGTCTTGGGACTAAATCCCTTTCAGCCCTAAAACAAAATCAATTACAGTGCCTACACAGTCAGATTCTCAGTTTAGAGAATTCAGCCTCTTGTTATTAAAATATATTAATTTTCCTGCTTTTTAAAACTCAGCAGGATATTGATGTTCATTCTTGTAAGGACTGCCATAAGAAAAAACAGCTGCTTTCAGGAAGTGGATTCATCATTTTAATCCCTTCATCATCGTAGCATTAATAATGCAATGGAATCATGTTATTTCAGACAAAAGCTGAATTCTTCTCAGTCTCTTGATAGCTCTCGTTCATTCTCCAGACAGGGGGATGACTAGACAGGTCATTTAGGCTGCATCAGGTAGCTGTCCGGGTGATACAACTGGAACCAGGTCGCCCCTGACACCAAAGCTCTGTCCGATTTGATGGCAAAGAATAGCAACCGTCTCCTAAACACCAGCCCCATGGAAACATACACCCATTGATTGACTGATCGCTCATGTGAATGCTGAACACACAAGTTTATCAATTTAAAAAAAAGGGACAGATGAAAAGTGCTCTCAATTCCACATTGTCTCCGCTAAACTTCCAGGTTTTTCAACATGTATGTTATGTAGAGGTAACCCTACAACTCCTTCAGATGAGACTGTCTTTTTGATGAGATGTTAAACTGAGGTCTATCTGTGGACGTTTAAAGATCCCATGAAAAGAGAAGATAGTTTCTCCCAGTGTCCTGGACAACAATCTCCCAGATAAAATTGATCATTCACTTCATGGCTGTTTGTGGACACTGCTATGTGGAAATTGGCTGCCACATTCACCTACAAATACACAGTCATTACAATTTACATCCTATATAAATCCTGAGAAGCGCATTGAGATGGCCTCCTGACGAGAATTGTGCAAGATCAAATTCAAGGGTTGTTATTATTATTAATAATCTGGAAGGGCATTGGTTTGAAGCGTCCTGTTTGTTTGGATAACTGTTAACCTTCTATCGGCCATTGCAGTGACTAAAAGCATATGATATGATGGAAACCTCACTGGGTTTGTGGTCAGGTACATATTTTTTAGATAAAACCAGGAAGAAGGTGGTGGATCGTTCAGTAAGAATACCATGCATACCTGATTGCTCAAAATGCCTTGCCACTTGACAAGGTGGATTAAGTTTGTAAAACAAGCTGATTGTAAAATCTCAGCAAGCAGTAGCACTGTAATGCACAACATGTTAGGCACTTAATGCTACTTCAGGCACATTTAGAATCCGTCTTAGTTATGTTTTCAGTGCTTTGCCAGTTATAGATCATGCGCTGACCTTTTCAGGGAGGAAAAAGGTCAAGACAATATTTTTCGTAAAAGGCGGCCAGAAAAATCTTGAAGATGGTTAAGTTTTCTGAAAGTATGGGATGAGAAATGTGATGTTTTGTAACAGTGATTTGATATGATATGGATTCAAACTTATCGGAAAGGAAAGTAGCAGAGAGTTGTGAGGGGATTGCAATTAAAATGAGGGGAGGTATTAAGTTAAGTGTCTTGGGCCCCTCCTCTTGGTTGTATTCATTAATGACCCGGTTTAGCAGATCCAGTTTAAGGTAGTCCACAACAACAACTTGCATTTAAATAGTGCCCTTCACATAGGATAATGTCTCAGAGAGCATCATAACAGGTTAGACAGGGTTCAATTTGCAAATGACATTGATTTGGGGGGAATTTATTCCTCACCAAACAGTCCAAGCGATCTGAGGCACAAGACAAACAGGATGCTCGGTGATATTACCAAATCAGTTGAGTTCAGTTCCCTGGAAGCCACATAGAGCTGTGGTCAGGCTGTATCTAAAGTACTCCATCCAGTTGTTGTCATCAGGACATAAGGGGGCTGCTCAGAGCCCAGACTCAGTGCAGAGGAGAGCAAAACACAGAAAGATGATACCCAGAGTTAGAGAAGTTTAGAAAAATAAACTATGTGCAATGATTAGACAAACTGGACTCTTCGATCTTGAAAAGAAATTTCTCCAAGGGCATCTTATAGAGGTATTTAAGATTTAAATGGGATTCAGGAATTAAACTCAGAACAATAATTTCTGACTACAGAACAAGGTTTAGAGTTGCAAAGAACAATTTCAGGACAGACACCAGCAAGTATTTCCCAACTTGGCCTCCTCAATGCCTCCCTCCATAGGCTGCAGAACATCCAGAACTCTGCAGGCTGCATCCTCTCCCGCACCAGGCTCTGTGACCCTATTATCCCCCGTTCTCGCCCGACTCCACTGGCTTCCCATCACACAGAGGATACAGTTCAAGATCCTGGTCCTCATCTCCATGGCCTTGCTACCCCCTACCTCTGCGACTTCCTAACCCCCAACCATCCTGCTCGCTCCCTCTGCTCAGCGGGCTCTGGCCCCTGCTTCACGTCCCCCACCTCGCCTGCCCCACCATTTGCGGGCAGGCCTTCAGCCACTCTGCCTCTACCCTCTGGAACTCCATCCCGCAGTCCCTCCACCTATCCCCTCCCTTGCCTTCTTCAAGACCCCTCAAGACCTTCCTCTTTGACTGTACTTTCGATCACCCTCCTTCCCTCCCTGCCCTCCATCCTCCCCGATCCCAACCCCCAGCTCGGGTCTGAAGCACTGACTGTCCAGCACTCTGGGACGTCCTCCCGATGTGAAAGGCATGATACAAATGCAATTTTGTTGTTGTTATTTCTTTACCCCGAGAGTAATTAATGACTGGAACACACGACGATCAAAACAAAATAATAAGTTAACAAGAAGGGAGGCTGAAGCCAGGACCCTGGAATCATTTAAACAGCTTGATGCTGTGATGGGAGCATGGTAGGATAGTATTCAGGAAGCATGAGATCAAATGGGCTGAAGGACCTTCTTCATCCAAAACTCTCTTGTGTTTTTGTGATCTAGACTGACAATCCAGTGCAGCACTGGGGAAGTGTCGCATGGTTGGAGGTGTCTTCCTTCAAGTGAGGCAGTAAAATGAGTTCCCATTTCCTGTCCAGGTGAAAGTTAAAGATCCAATGATACTGTTTGATAAGGGAAGGAGTCTCTCCTGGAGATCGAGCTATCAATTCCCTGCAAAAGTTCCACCTCCCTCTTGGCTGTTTGCGGGATCTAGCTGTGTGCAAAATGGATCCTGTGGTTGACTACAAAAAACAGTGACTACATGTGGGAAGCACTGTAAGATGCTTTGGCCTTCTAGGTGCTATGAAAACCCCAGTTTTACAGGCGAGATTCAAACCCAGTTCTGAAGTGCGTTATTAATATCACTTTGAACCACGCTTCCACATACTGTTCAGGGGTTAGGTTGACCAGGAAGCAGGTGCTATAGTTCACAGAGCAAGTCAGCTGCATTGTATCAGATATGCTTAGTGATGTTTTGTGTAAAATGGTCTTCACTTTAGGTGTTGAAAGCTGTTCGTGTACTAGCTACAGTAGACAGTGTACAGGTTAGGAGTTGCTTGCTGTGTATGTACTAACTGCAATGGACAGTATTTCAAGTTAGGAGTTGACAGCTGTGGGCAAGTACATCTACAATAAACAATGTATGGTACTGTTGGCTGTGTGTATGCATTACCGGAGCTGTCTTAAAATAACAAGATGTCATTTTGTTGTGTTGAAGCTTTGATTTTGTACATTGTGAAAAGCAAAGGCAGCAGAACAGGTTCAGATAAGCAATTGAGCCACCATAGTGCGTTACAATACTATCTGTTCATTCCTGGCACTCGTGCCAAACTACTCCCGTGATAGATGGGATGTCAGTTTCCTTTCTCCAGTGTTGAGAGGTTTTGGTCCAGTTCCCACCAAAACTCTTTTGGGGCAGCACCAATTTTTCCCCTTTTGGAGATTGATTGGCAATCCAACTTGTATTAACCTGAAATGCCTTCTGCATGCAGTAGGAAGTGAGTGCTCTGTAGTACTAGGAGCCTCAGTATCAGTGAGCGCACAATATTTGATCTTCACCAGTGCCTATATCTTCCTTGACTGTTCTCAATCAGCTGGTAGGAAATGGAGATAAGTGGAGGAATGTGGAGCTCACTCGAGAACTTGGTCACTAGACTCAGGCCAGGCTTGCCCTGCCGGAGAGGTGGTTCGTTTAGCTGACTGCTGGAATGATCATGAAGACGGGTATCAGTCCGCATTGTCCTTTGATACTTGGGGCCTAGAAACATTTTGGGGGGATCGGGGCTTCTCTGTGGGGATAACCCTCATTCCCTAGTGGAATGCAATGCGGTCTGATAAGGCTTAGCCTTGCTCAACAATAAAAAAAAGTTCTCAATCAGCTAGCCTGGGATTTGGCATCAGGTGAAGTAGAAAGGTATGTGTTTGCCTGCCCCCAGTTGTGTGAACAGGGTTTGTGAATCCTCACCTGAATACATGTCATGGGCTGGGCCTGGGGATCGTCCCAGGGGGCCATCCACGCCATCATGCGGTGACGTCGCGGGCTGCAGGGGCTGGATGGTCAGGCAGTCATTCAGCATCTCCTGGTCAGGCTCATTGCTGGATCGTAACTGCACACAGAACACAAACACTTTGGTTGGTGACGAAGGATAAACAACCCCAAAAATTTACACTTGTACGGTGCCTTTCATGTGGAAGAAAGTCTCAAAGTATTTTACAATGTCTGAATAGGAGTCTGAGTTGGCAAGGAGCTGGGTGGAGAGATGGCTGAAAATGCAGTCAAAGGGTTTTCAGATAATAATAATACTTGCATTTGATATAGCGCCTTATAACGTCATTGAGACATCTCAAAGCACTTCACAGAATATATCGTAAAGTGGACTGACTGTGTATTTTGTGGGCAAATTTTGATGATATTTGATTTGAAAGCAGGGCAAGGATCGGAGTGAGGGGCTTATGGAACCTAGGATATGAGCAGTGGAATACTGAATGCTTTGTAGCTTGGGGAAGATGGAGCTGGTGAGGCTGGTGAGCAGGGCATTAGAGAAGTGGAGGTGATAAAAACCTGGATGAGGGTTTTGGCTGTGTTGGGGTGAAGTATTGGCAGAGGTAGGCGACGTTGTGAGGATGGAAGAAAACAGACATGGTCAGCCTGGATGAAAGGTTTGAAAGAGAGTTGAGGGTTGTACAAATAACTATGTGAAAATCCCTTCTCATTTCCAGTTATGTCTTGCGATCTTTAATGTTCACTTGAAGAACAGGCAGACAGGACCTTGGTTTAACATCTCATCCATACAATGATGCCTCCAACAACAAGAGCTCCCCTGTTACTGACCTGGAGTGTCAGCCTGGACTCTAAGCTCAAAGTTCCAATGCAAGGCTTGAAGCCACAACTTTCTGAACTAGAGGTGAGAGTGCTGCCAGCTGAGCCAAGCTTACCCCTATTACAGCAAAGAAGAAAGCCCTCAGGCTGGAGTCATCAATCTCCTTATAATAATCTTTGCATTTGATATAGTGCCTTATCAAGTTATTGAGACGTCTCAAAGCGCTTCACAGGATATACTGTAAAGGGAATTGACTATATTTTATGAGCAAAATGTGGCAGTCAATTGTGCACAGCAGTGTCCCACGGACAACCATGAAGTGAGTGACCAATTTTATCTGGAGGATTGTTGACCAGGACATTGGGGGAAACTTCCTTGTCTTTTTGAATAGTGCCATGGAATCTTTAACATCCACCTGAACAGGTGTGATCTCTGGATGAAAAAGGCCCTTCAGCTCATTCAGAAAAACATATATTTAAATTTATACAGCTCCTACCACATTGGGAAGATTTCATAAACTCACAAGATTAGTCTGGATGAAGACAGCATGGACAGGCTCTGGGCCTTTGAATCACATAATCTAAGATGACACTCCAATGCAGTGCTGGGGGTGGTGTTGCATTGTCAGAGCTACTATCCTTCAGATGAGATGTTAAACTAAGGTCCCTTCTAGCTGATCGGGTGGATGTTAAAGATCCCATGGCATTATTCAAAAAGAGAAGGGAATTTCTCTCTCCTGATATCGTGGCCAACAATACCCCAAATAAAATTGGTCACTCACTCCGTGGCAGTTTGTGGGACATTGCTGTGTGTAAACTGGTTGCCGCATTATGCCTACAAAATATACAGTCACTGCAATTTACAGTATAATCCTGTGAATCACTTTGAGACATCAAGATGATGTGGTAAGGCACCATATGAAATACAAGAATTATTATTATTAGGAAGAAGGCCCTTTGGCTCATCTGATCTCATTCCTCCAGAACTCTCACCCCACCGTCCCCCCTATCACAGCATCAAACTGCTTTTTAAATGAGTCCAGTGTCCCAGCCTCCATCATGTTTTCTGGCAACCTTACCCCTCACTAATTCTGGCACCAGTTGTTGATTACCCTTTGAGTAAAGAAAGACTTCCTGATACATGTCCTGAAATTCACAGAAAACTTTCACCATCCTAGATCCAATCCAGACTCTGGAGAGTTCTACATATGCATGCAGCATTCCCTGGATCTGAAATGAAATGGGCACTCTCTCTCCAGTGGTACATACTCTGCTCATCGAATCCTGGAAAGTATTAGTGCAGGTTGGCAAGCATCAAAGCTTGGGGACCCACAGTGTATTGGAGTCGAACCAACCAACCAACTAAAACTATGTGGCTTGCCATTGCAAACAGTAAAACTAGCGATCAGGGTTTCCACCTCAACTTTAAGAGTTTCACTTTTTCGATGGCAATAAATGTTTATCTTTTGGAGGTGCCCGTTTCCGGCAGTACAGTACAACCAAGCTTGGAACCTACTAGAATGCAACTTTATGTGCACTGGTTGACAAGTGCTAAGTTACTTTCACCAAAGATCTAAAGAGTACAAAACACAAAATACTGCAGATGCAGATCACTTGTCCTTAAAAACCTCTCCCTCCCAACATGCCCCAGTTCTGACGAAGGGTTGTGGACCCGAAACGTTGACTCACTTTCCTTTCTCCATAGATGCTGCCTAACCTGCTGTGTGTTCCCAGCTCTCTCTGTTTTTGTTATCTAAAGAGTACACTTCTTAAACATATCATCACTGAATGGTGCCAGAGTGTGCAGAATGAGCCTGGCCACTCCTGCAGTGATATTCCATGCTGCTGTTAAAACAGTGGAAGCCCTTAGGTGAACCAGTATTTTAGATATTCTGTCATTCGGGAGAAAGATGTTCATATCTCCTGTAGCTCACAATCGACAGCATGCTCTGCATAGACCTTTAACTGAGGCTTCTGAGGTGTGAACTGCTGAGGTACAAATTGCTCAAAGTCTCAGTCTTCACCACGATTCATATCTTAAGAGCATAAATGATAATAACAATCCTTGCATTTGAATTAGAGCCTTTCACATCAGGAGCACTTCACAGGACTGACATTCTCAAAGCATTTCACAGGATTTACTGTAAGGTATAGTGGCTATGTGTTTTGTTGACGAACGAGGCAGGCAATTTACATGTAATGATATCCCACAACAGTCATGAGGCAAATGGACAATTCTATCTGGGAAACTGTTGGTCAGGATTCTCGGAGAATCTATCTTCTTTTTATGAATAGTGGTATGGGATCTTGAACAGGCAGATGGGACCTCGGTTTAACGCCTCATCTGAAGGACGGCATTTCTGACAATGCAGCTCTCCCCCACCCTGGATTAGAGGGTCTGTTTACACAGTATGAGTTCTAAATCCTGATGTTGGACTTGAACCCACAAGCTTCTGACTCAGAGACAAGAGAGCTACCAACTGAACCAGGCTGATACAAAAAATAAGAACAGGATTAGACCATTCAAGCCTGCTCCACTCTTTTATTCGATCACAGCTGATTTGAAACTTAAATAGCATTTCCCTGCCCTTTCACCATCTCCCTTCATACCTCGCCTGCCAAATATTCATCACAGTCCTTCTTAAATATTTCAATTGTCCTGGAATCTGGAACCATTTGGACAGGAGTAAATTCCACATTTCTCAGTGTGAAAACAACTTCTTCTAACTTCACCTTTAACTGGTTTCAACTCTAAATTAAAAGGCAAGAATAGTACCGAATTCTGCGTGACTCTTAAATTCAGTCTTAATTTGGAAGTTGTTTTTAATAATAACCCTTGTATTTATTATGTCCTTGAGACATGTCAAAGCGCTTCACAGAATACACTGTGAAGTGGATTGACAGTATTTTGCGGGCTAAACGTGGCAGCCAATTGCACACAGCAAGGTCCCACGAACAACAGGGTGAGGGACCAAATTTAGTTTTTCTACAACAACTGCAACAATCTTAAATTGTAAGAGAGTGATGTAAAGGCAAAGGCCATGAGAAGCTCCAGGCTGAAGACCACACGTTCCACCAGTTTAAAGGGTCAGCGAGTTACGCAATTGTGACGTAAGGAACTGGTTTACTGTTTGGCAAACCATGGACGGTATGTGAATCTGTTCCAGATTTTCATTTCGATAAAGATTTGATAATTATTTCCAGAACGGAGTCTGAGCGAAATAAAATCCAGCCTGGCCATACACACTATGATTAAGGAATGGACATTAAGAAGACAGTTCCATCTGCTCTAAGTGAGTGAGTGAGGAGGGATGCTTTTGTTGTTTGGCTTTGTGTTACTTAATTGTCATGAGGTCAAGAATGAAACGTTGTGGTCCAATTTGCGGTATTTCTTAAGAGATTTTCTAATAAGAAATGTGCATGTGGATATTAAATTTCTAAACAATGCAACAATGCAATATGCCAGGACATTTGATGGTTTATAAGTCTGATAATTCCATATTTCTTGGGCTCCAAATTCTCAAAGGTAGAGCTCCCCATCTGCTGAGCGCTCAATCTCACTGGGTGTTTAGAAGTAGAGAGCAGCCATTCTACCACTTGGCAAGCCAAATTACCCTGCCTCGTTTTTGCCTGCATGCCTCTTTGTGACCGCTTACAGACTGATGCTTTATTTATGTAGTTATGCCTAACTCGCCACTCCTAATAAATCGTCACTGAGCCCTTTTCCTTTGGAGTGATGAGTTATCAGGAGTTTACTGTATTCAAGTGAATCTTTACTTGAACAAAACTGCAATTAGCTTCGATGCTACGAGGTCAATGATGCTGACTCTCCCCTTCCCACCAGCCTTCAAATTCATATAATCAGACATTTCAGCACAGAAGGAGGCCATTCAAACCGTTGTGCCTGTGCAATGCTAACTCTCCTACTGGAGCTATCAACTCTAATCCTATTTTTCTATCTAATCCTAACACATATCCTTTCATAAATTTGTTCTTCGAGTGATTAACTAATTCCCTTTTAAATGAGGCAATTGACTTGGCTTCAATGGCTACGCGGGGTAACGCATTCCACATCCAAATAGCCCTTTGTGTCAAACAGGATTCTTTTAACCTCCCACTTTATGTTTCTAGCGATAATCTTGAGTTTATGTCCTCGTGTTGACAATTCACCAACCAGCGGAAATAATCTTTCACTAAATGAGTAGCTACTTTTTTGATTTTATTCTCTTTGGGGGTTGTTCTGTTCCCTTCACTTAGTACAAGTCTTTTGATCTGTGCTTGTATGGG